ATTTGGACTTTTTGGGAAAAAATCACAGAAACATATGAGTCTGAGTTGGAAGGGACCCAGAAGGACCATCAAGTCCAGGTCTTGAGTGAATGGCCCTTAAGGGGATTGAATCCATGACCTGGGTGTTATTAGCACCAGGCTCTGACCAACTGACCTATCTATCATAGGCAAAAAAAGATAGGAACATTAAATTACATCAATGTGAACACACATACTGCCAATGAAAAATGAAAAAGTGAATGAATTCCAAAATAAAATTTCATGTCAGAATAGTCCTATAAACAGAGTTATTCTAAAAAATAAAACCTGTCAGCAGCTACCTTTATTAAATAAGTTTACAGTAAATTTCTGGTATTGGATCAGAGGAATATATCTATTTATATATAGATAGATTCAAAAAAAGGTATAAAATAGTGTCACACAACCAGTGCTGTGATAGATATGAAGGAATTAGCAAAGTTTAGTCTGATATATCCATTATGCAATGGAAAATTACTGCTGTCTCCACTTTTTCATCTGGGCATATTGGTTTCTTCTGCTTTATTCTTAATTCTTTCTATAAGTATTAGTCACATATGGATAAATTGCAATTTTTGATTCTGGCATGCTGCTGCTCTGTTCTAACTTTTACAGTGTAATTTCAAGTTGCTATTAATATAAAGTATGTCCTTTATATTTTCATATATCTTTCTGCTGAGTGAAAAAAAAATTGATGTAGTGAAACTGCTAACAAGCTGAGCCTTTGAAACCATGGGCAGGTGATGAAAGCCACTTCATGTCTAAAGCATCCCCAGGTCACAGCTGTCACACTCACTGCAATTCATTGTTGTCACAATCTGCTGTCCCTGCTTGTTGTTGCTCTCCCCTTATTCATCCAACTCATATATCTAAACATTCCATTACAAAAAGACATCTAATGTTCGTCTCATGTTCGAAAGGGCACAACACTCTTCTGAAATATAATTCTGAAGATTTTAGGGCTCAGAGTTCACTGCCAAATCTAAGGTGTTGCTTTGTAAGGCTTCCCTTGTAATTTTGTCTTTGTCTCATCTCCTGAATGCAGCAGGATAAAATGTTTAGTTAGTACATGATCTCAGCTTTATTCCAACATCTTATCATGAAGAAATGAAATATTGCCCAGTAATAGAAAGGCATTTGAAGCTTTGTGAGTTTAAAGATAACAGCGCTGGCTGTGAAGTCAGTGAATTGGAAGGAAAGGTCAGCAAGTCATCTACTGTGGCACTGTTCACAAAGGCAATCCTTCTATCCAATGAACCTGGTTGTTCATAATCTGAAGACTTTGATTTTCTAAGACTTAATTTTGTTCTTTGTTACTTAATTAGATATGGTTACTATTGATTTACTTTTCCGTGTCGAAATTTCTCACAGGCCTTCTAACTTTCAAGAAGACTTTACTCTGGCAAACATGCTGTACTCTAATTTCAAATCTATGCTGTTGTTTCAGGTTACAACTACAAACTCTGAGATGAATGATTTAAAAACTTTTCAATTTGTGGAAACATTGATACTAAGGAGAAAATACTTCAGTAAAATTAGGGTTAAAAAAATGAAGCAAACCATAAAGAAAACAAAACCAAGATGTCTGAAATTAATAGCAATAAAAAATGGAAACTATAATTCTAATAACAAACAGATTCATGAAAGAGAGCAACTGCCCTATTTATCCATTCCTGTAAAAATAAAGTAAAAGGAGGTTTGACCTTCTCACTTACATTTATTCTTGAAGATATTTATTTTGATTGTAGTATAAGTTATTATTCATAAGCATTACACTGCCAGCACAAGGTTCAAGAAGTATGGTGATTACAGTTTCCTGCTCAACTACACAGTACATATAATTCAGTGGACACTAAAATCACAGCCTCTGACTACGCCTAGAGAAGAACAGGTAAATTGCCAGTGACATTATGTCCATCCTCATGGGAAGAAAATCACCTAATAATGACCTCATGCTTTTAAGTTGGTGGGGTTTATGTTTCAATCCTGTTAAGTATTAAAAAATAGGAACATAATTACTTAGCTGTGCTACCTCTATCCACATGACCATCTCCCTCTGCAATAGATAATAACAGAGGATATAAATCTAGACATATGTTGTACCAAAATGAGGCTGAAGGAATGAGTAGGAAACAGGAAATTCCTTAGCCCTTATAGTACTGTTGAAATAACTATGTGCAGCAAGATGTTACATTTAGAAGTGAATTCTGAGTGATGGATTAAAACTTGTGTTTATGGATCCACCTGTAGTAGAAATTAATTGTGAGCAATAACTTACAGACCTTGACTGAAGGAGTCACGACAGCACTTAGGTAATGCCATGCTCTATATAAAGGACCCAAAATCCTAAATTTACTAGTGCAAACTTCTTAAGAAATTTGTATTTCATCCTCGTATGTGCACACTTTTCTAAAGAGAACTTAGGTTAATTTGGTCATTTAAAAACATTTCATTGAAATCCACATATTTTTATATTTCGGTTATGTGCAAACCAGATGGGAACATGAAACCTGGTTTGTCAAATAACTTGCACAGGATGTTATGCCAGGAGTTATGCAAAAGTTGGCAGCTACAATGAATATTTAATTAGCACGGATATGAGAGCTGAATTTTCAAAAATGACATTGATACATACTGTAGATTATTAATACAAACAAATGCTTGAAAAAGCAAACTTTTGGAAAGAAATTATGATTTTCTAGTTACAATGTTCTGATAGAATGTTTCAGAGAGCCTAAATTGCTAGGTACTTTCAAGGTCTTCACCTAGCTTATAAGAGATCTATCTCTGCTAAAGGAAACAGATGAGTTGCAAAAATGGACTTGCTAAGAGGTAAAAAAACCCCAGGATAAGGAAAATTTTCTGGTATGGGACTGGCCACAGTTATAATATACAGAGTCACGTGATGACAGTATGTCCCTTTCAGAGTCCAATAGTTTTAAACCTACTCGACAGGTTTAGATCACATGAGCCAGAAGTACTTCTCAGTTAAGTACATCCTGGGTCCAGCAATGTTCCCATAATGGGGTTAGATCTGTCAACAGAGCAGGACCTGCTTTCCACAAAAGGAAATCATTTTTACATGGCCTCTGAGATATGTTGTACTCCAATGTACCTGACTGTGGTCACTGGAGACAAAGATAGTGCTCACACTGCAATCTGCTCCCATAGACATATTTAAATGTAGGCCATGGCAACTTAAGCAGTTTTAATAGCTACAACTAACATGTAAATCAGCTTTACAAGCTAGAAGTCAGCTTGTTAAAGTTTAGAAACAGAAGGTTAGCAATGCTCATTAAGGTGAAATTTTATACTCTTACATACGAAATAAAATAGCTCATAGAAAAAGTAGGGAAAATAGCATGAAAACAGTGAAAACAAACTTTTGATGGCACAGTAATTCATATGACAGGTGCCATTTAGCATGTGCTCCATCTCAATCTTCATTTTTTAGATACCCCAGTAGGACCAGTGGCAACCGTTCCAATTAAGAAAATAAATTTAGAATGAAATAAAGCACCACATGTGTTCCAGAGAACATTAGTATCATGTAAATCTTACTAAATACCAATCAACTAAAAACAGGAAAATAGAGATGCAAAAATCACCATGTAATCAGTTAGTCAGCAGCAGAGTGCTTATGTCCCCAACACAGGGGTAAGATGGAAACCAGGGTAGGATCTAGTCTTGTTGGCACACCACTTAAATAAGCAATTATTCTCAAAACAGTATCTTAACTCCTCATGTCAAAATGGTGAGAAAGGGATGTCACTGAAGGCCCCCAAAGGAGACCTTAGATTTGCAGGTATAGGTGACTAAATTAAGACATCAGATCATATTTTTGTAGGTCAATAAAAACTTAGATTTGTTGACTTTTAACTGAACAGTTCTTTGCAGTTCTGTGCTTGTTAGGTTAAGAAAGAAAGGTGCACCAGTATGTTGAATGTCTTAATAAAGTCAGACTTCTTTACTTTACTTAAACCATCATGAACTTCAAAACTTTTGTTACTCCTGATTTGAAGGTTCAAGAGGTTCTAAGGTAACCTAATTTTTGTCAAAGGAATTGCATGAATGGACTGATTTCCAACACAGCCCTGAAAAACTACATAAACTTGCTTTTGTGTGTCTATTTCTAAAATACATTAGATAAAAGAACAAAAGTTTGTGTACTTTCTTATTTGTTAGAACTAAAGAAGGATAAGAGGCAAAATGTAGATATCTGAATAAAGATCATGCCATAATTACCTAATGGTAACAGGGAAGTGTCTTTTTTAATGAAATGCTTTAAAATGAAAACAGATCACCTTCAGTGAAAGGATGAAAAAGTTCCATGCCTCTGGTAAATGCCTCTATAACCAGATTAATTTAATTAAAGGCTACAATCAAAACCTAAAACAGGCAGACAAGTTCAGATATCAGGTATTTTTGAGATATCCCTATAATACTACAGTCCTGGCCTGCAGATTACTGGGACTGTTCTGTGCTACTTCATTCTAATTTGTTCTGGGATTTGGCAAATTTAGTTTCTGCATAGGTAAAGTATCAAACCTTTCAGCCTTCTTCAAATAATTTAGAGCATTTAAGTTCAAATGCTTAGATTTTAAAGTTAGAATAACAATCTCTTCTAATTTAAGAACAATTTTTTCCATTATATTTCAAGAAACATTAGATTACAGACTATGAAATACGAGAAAAAGACAAAGCTGTGTATGAAAATGCTTCAATTTGAGCATCTAATACTCATTGCTTTAATACTGATTTTGAGAGATGGAGGGAAACTGAGATGCTAACAGTGGCCACCGGCAGCCTGTTGCGCTCTCAGAGTCACCACACTTAGTTTTCTTGTATTTTCTGACTTTATGACTTACCTTAGAACATCACCTATACAATCCACCTTTGCAATATTTATGGTGGTGGGGAGCAGGCTAGGATTTGGTGCCTTTTGGTTTGGTTGGGCTCAGTTTGGTCTGTTCTATAGTTACCTTAATAACAGATGTCTCCACCCTGGAGGGAGGGCTCTGCACTTGTGCTGCTGCTGCCATGTTGGCGATGGTGCTGAGGTGGTTCATCTGGCTCATTGCCATCGTGACAGAGGCTGGAGGTAGGCTCACGGGAATCAGCGGGTGGGGCATCATCATAAAAGGAAGTTCCAACCCTGTTGGGGGAAAAACAAGGAAATAGGTTTATGCATTTTCTCTTAAGCACTGTCTTCTTTTTCTCCTGATGGACAATATTCAAGTGACAGGTGACAAGATGGTTCACATTGCAGGAAAAAGCAGCTCTATGTCAGTTCTCTTCTGGGAGATGCAGGGGTGAATCACTAGCAACCATGGAGGGTTTCTAGCCACAAGGAGAGGCTATCAGACCTCTTTGTTTATATCTGTGTAATGTATGATATCATTGCTAAGCCATGGCCATTTATTATAGTTTTTGATATCTGCTGTAAGGTGCTTTAGCAATGCTTCATTATGCCACTGATGCACAGGTTAGTTATTTTCAGTATCAATTTCATTGCATGTATTTGTTCTTTATTGTCTCCACTTCCCCTGCTTAATACTCTAAAGGAAGTATTCCAGTATTCTGCACATCCTTGATTTTCATTGCCTATTTATATAAACACCAAAAAAAGAGACAGGAACTAGAAAACTGCTGATGTTAGTGCTGAAAGATGTCAACCCGTACCATTTGGCAGAAGGTGGTTCTGTTGAAGAGGGTTGAGAGGATGGCTAACTGGAACATTATGCTGTCCAGGCAAGTTGGGGTGGTTAACAGAGGCCTGTGATCCTTGGGTGGGGGGAGACTGAAGTTTTTCTTTATCCCAAGAACCATCACTGCTGCCTGTGGGGAATGAATATATATTATTTGGATGAATGAAGACTCCAAATTTTCAATTTCTGAATTTGGAAGCAAGGCCAGCATTCTAACCTTTTTTGCAATTAGAAATTTGTTTTTAATTTTCTTTTTTAATATGTGGGTTGGGGGAAGGACTTTAGGGTTGGGGTTTTTTTCCACCCTCTGAAAAATGAATGTAAGAATAACTTTTTTTAATTAAGAGTTAGCACAAACTTAAAGTATTAGTGTCGTGCTCATTCACATGAAGTCTGTGTATTGTACATACACTTTTCTCATACTTAGTAAATAAAACTATATACGGCACTTTTTAATATGTGAGAAAATATTTTTGCCTCCAAAATGTCTAACAAAAATACACCCTGTTATGCCAATTAAAATTTAAACTACAGTTATATTGTGTTCTATATTTCTGAATAAATAAACATTCTTTGAAGGAATTAAAATATTAATTTATTGAGAGCACCAACATGCATACATATATGCTTGGCTGATGATTCTATTTTGTATATTAAATTTTTATTTCTTATTATTAATATAAATGTGAGGGATTACACTTATTCTTGCAGTCTTCTGGTAGTGGAACAGACTAACAGCAAAGAAGAATGGGGACAAACAAGTATTGAGATGAGAAAGAATTAATTTCTCTGAGAAACACCTTTTTTCACTATTGCAGACTTCCTCATAAAAAATAACCATAGAATTAAATAAGATACAATTAAAGGACAATATGACACAGTCTGTATAAAGGACAATAATAATTAATATCTCATTATTAATTTGTATATTTATATGCAATGAAAAGGTTAACATCTTCCAACCTGACAAACTGTATTATTCTTGGTGTGTACTTACATATAGTGCTGAGATTGAGTGTATGTATGGTTATGCATACACAGTAATCTATACACTTACTGTATGAGTTTATTTACCATACACAATCAATAAACAATGTTTGCATATATTAATAAATATGGATATATGCATGCACTCTCAGCAGTATTAATATACCCATCAGCAATACATGATTGCTTACTTTTTCATGTAGAGCACAATTTCAACCTCCTGACTTTGAAAATGCCTACTATTTTCATGGGAGCATGTCTTGATAGGGACTTCAGGATCATATAAGTCAAGATGTATTCAATCTATGCTCAGTTTCTATTTACCATTATAGATTATAGCAAAGTACATATTTCTGAATGTTTTTCTACATATATCCTACTCATTAATGAACAACAGCCTGAAAAACAACAGGAACAACACTACCTCCTTCTTACTTCAGTAGAAAGGGGACAAGTCTATTAGTCTTGACATATTTTAACATCGTTTTCATTGGATGACAAAAGCACAGAAGTTGGTAGAATTCCAATTTAATTTCTCTAGATCTATTAAAAACCTGATTGTAAAAGCTGTACAACATAGTTTATAATGAAAAATACTCCATTATTGCCATGATTTTCTTTCCCCAGTTACTTCAGGAAGACACTTAAGGCTCAATATAAATTCTAACTCATTAGCTCAATACTGTCTCAATCCCAGTGTAAATTGTTCAGAAGTAGGTAATGAAAATTCAGTCCAAAGTCTCCCGCAATCAAACAAAGCAATTTTATGAAACAATGAAAAGAATCAATTATATTAGATACTTTTATTACTTTACAAGAAATTTTCATAACCTTTATGCAGTGAACATAGTTGAGATGATAAACGCATTATTCAAATCTCATGACCTCTGACAAGTGAACATGTTTTCTTATATCTTGAGAACTAAGACACTCTCAAAAAGCCTTAACACACATTTAAATATGTAGTGAAGAGCTAAATCTTATCTGGGAAAAGATTTTTATTCCTTTAAATTTCATATTCTCTAATTTTATGCTTTTCACCACTGCGATGTACGTATTTCACTCCCTAACATCCAGGCCTACACCCCCCCACACTCCTAACATATCAATAATCCACTTTGCAGTCTTTGCCACCACATGGCTCTCCATCCTCTACCTCCAGTGAGATGGCAGAGTAAAGGACCTTGCTAAAACACTGTCCTTCAAACACTGTTGTGCCTCGTCCAGACATCTCTAATGAGCTTGATTTTATCCCTTTTCCCCTTTAAATCTAGGTTAAAGCTCTTTCAATGAACCCGACTAACTTCTGTTTCCCGTTTGAGCCAGGTGTAGCATCCATTATATATATATGAAGAATACAAATAATACATAAATATATATTAGTAATTTTATGAATATTTGTTAGCATTATAAGGAAGATGTTTGCATTTCATACAGCTGCTGAATTGCCAGTAATGAGATGTTTCCCCTATTTTTATCAGCAAGATCTTCTACAGTGCAGTTAATTTTATGTTCCATGCTGATGTTCGATATGGAGATGGAGTCAATTCTTCTGTGACCCTTCCTAACCTGGTCACAGAATTTTGCAAGGTCAGTTATAGTTTGCCAATTATGGCTCTGCTTATGTGGCTCAGAAATTAGAGCTTTTCTAAATCAGTACTTTTTTCTACCTCAAAATTACAGTGTCTGCTGTTTTAGTGTGATATTGAACCCAATAATAATTTGGAAGAGAGAAGAAAGCCCAAGTGTGAAGGCTAGCATTTAGTGACAGTGTCCTTAATACTTGTAGTTTGGAATCATCTGTTAAGATCTGCTTATATGGAAAATGGTTTATAGACAGAGTCCAATCCATAACATTAGAAACCCCTTTCAAACTTCCGACTGTCGAGCTCCTGAACACTTCAAGTGAACAGACACAGATACAAAAAGTCTTGGCCATTCACTGCATTTTTCTTATGCTAGTTAAACAGAACACTTTTCCTCTTAGAGGAAACAGTTATTTTCATTAATGTCAAAGCAAAACAAGTGCTGCTCTATAGACACTATTCACTGTCTGCACAACAAAGTGCAACCCAACAGTTCTGTCACTTTTTACATTTGGTTTTGATTTAATACATACAGTGATTTCAAAGAGTATTAAAAATCTGTTGCCTTCTTCCTCTTCACTTGTTGCCCTGCTGGAGGCTTATGTTTTTCCAGTTTCCATCAGTGGCTGTCAAGTCTTTGTAATAGGATTAAAAGCTTGGACACCTGATATCCCTGGGTGCTGCAGTTCACCCTCATAAAAGCTGTTTGCTTTAAATTGAGAGAAAATCAGTTTTTAGTGGCATAATTAATTAAATTATGCAAAGTGTTCCAGATTCAGCATAACACTTTCTGAAGCAGCAATTGGAAGCTCTACATTGCATTCAAACAGCATTTCAATTGATGCTGCACTAGGCTGACCATAGAGTACCATTTCAAGGCTTTCAAGCACAAGGGATCCAATTTTGAAATGCAAATGCTTAATGCTGAGTGCTCAAACCCCATACATATGTACTTGAATAGGCAATTTGGTAGCCAACTACATATTTCATATGTGATAGTGCTAATACAGGTACTCAAAAAATTGAAATGAAGTTCCAAATGTAAGTACACATGCTTAAAACCCTGGCTCAGGTGATCTCACATTTTCTCATGATGGACAACTCGATGGAACAAGAATGACAATACTTTTTCACAATTTAAAAGGCATAGTACAGAATCCATTGCTTTCCTCATCACCAATATTTCAGCACATATTTTCCATAATGTGAGTTACCTTCTCCCATAATCAGCAGTTACACAACAAACCATTATTTGTACACTGAAGTGGGTCTGTAAAAGCCTGATGCCTGGATTATTTGTATTCATTAGTAGCACAATTAGGTAGCTAAGGATGGTAATAATAAATTGAAACAATTCTGGACTAGAAGGTAATGCAACCAAGAAAAAGAAAATGAAGCAGAAAACTAGTGTACAATGTCAGCCTCGCAAACAAACGCTGATCTAAATGCACCATGTTCGTTTTTATAATCATTCTTCTTATTTGCAGACTCCTTTTCTTCTTTCATTCAGACCCCATTAGGATTCAGTTTGCTTAAATTTCTGTTTCAACAATGTGAGCTGAACAGTTTAGTTCCTGTGATGGCCAACAGGGATTCAGTCAAAAGGGTCTGGAGAGATGCTGAGCTCACTCTGTGGGAGACAGCCCCGTCTTTGCTCAGCTGAATCTGCATCTGGTGCTTCCAAACACTACAGTGACCCTTCTCCCAGACTCAGTTAAATGGCCTGAACACAAAACTCCTGAGATGGCCAAAAGAATTTGAATCATGTCTTGTAGGGTTGGTGAGTGCCACACAGCACCTGCAGGAGACCTCAAGACTATCTGGAGGTGTAGATCAGGTGGGATGCTCAAGGGTATCTAAGGCAGTAGCATATATCTATGCCTAGGCAACCAAGCCAAATTTTTTTGATTATAGGTGGCTTTTAGAAATTAAAATTAGGCTATCTACCAGGCCCTTGGGTCTTTCCCTTCCTTTCATGTGGAAAACTTGATATTTTATGGAATTACAGAGAACAATTCAAGCATGCCTTTAGGCAAGTGAACCCCAGCACTGGCTCAGGAATAGCTTCAGGTACCATTATATACACAAGCAGTATCACATAGCAAAAGCACAAAAGAATCTGCCTTCCCACTAACAACTCAAACCAGCTTTTTTTTTTTTTTTTGGTGTGCTACTGATCTCCTTTTAGTCTCATAATCTTTCTGTTATCTTCTGTGTTTGCTGAAACAATTTGTATCTCAGCAACAATTACCAAACAAAGCGTCAGTATCAGCTGTGTTGGCTCATTTTTCTGAAGTGGACTATTCATGATCTGGGCTATTTATGTCCACTGGAAAATATGCATAATCAGTGTGCTAAAAATTGGTAATCTTAGCCTCCTGACAGTGAGGAAACCATTTCATAAACTGCTCAAATCAAATGCTGCTCCTTTAGTCTTTGAAATGTTATCCTAAAATCAGACGTACAGTTTATCTGCAATATAGGAGTGTTGTGAGACGGTATAAAAGACACATGTCTACAGATAAAGGCATTTTTATAAGATCTTTATGTTACTGTT